ATAGGAGATGATACGGGAGACGAAATTTGGGATTCAAAGCATCGTGCATTTTTGTTGACGAGTTAGCAACGATCTTGAACTTATTAGTTTGTTGTTGGACTTATAGGGAAAAAAATACTTTGACGAGGGCGTTTAAGGCTCAGAGCAGGTTTTGAGAAGCATAAATAATTTGCGGACGTCGAAATAATATTAGGATTTACGAGTGTCCTCGCGTATTCTTGGATAGATCATGATTGTCGACAAATAAAAGAAGAAAGAAAAATAGAACTTACATTCTACTTTTCAGGGGGTGGGCGACAACTCAGCAGATTAACGGTGGATTATATATGTGCTCTCATTTAAAACGCCAAACAGTAGGCGACTTCCTCAGTTGAAATGACCCAGTCACCCTTTTAAGCATGAAGGACGAGAGCTTCTTGCACATTTTGTAGATGTTTTGTATCCATCCTGTGACTCTTACAGCTCTCTTACACCTGTTATCTATTTTCTACAGAATTATTTACCGCGATAATTTTCCATAATTTAGTTCACCCTCCTCATCTCAGCGATACGCAAGTTGAGCAAATGACAAGCATTTTGCGGCCGTCCTCGATGACGCCAGAGTCCTAAAGGGGAGGAGGAGCCAAGGGGTACCGGAATGTACCTGAAGATGGGGTAGAGGGTCAACCCAAACCTGCCCTTAAACCTGACTTGACTTTAATTGGGGGAAAAGGGTGGATTCAACTTTACTTGGTATGTACGTGACATTGGGAGAGGGGGCCAATGAATAGAGACGCAACTTGAGGTCATCTATGGATGTTCCCTCCAATCACCGATGATTGACGCGACTAAAGGAAAGAAAGAAGAATGCACCGATGCAGCGGTTGACACCATGTGTCATATTCTCTAAAAACCTACACTGAAAAAAAAAAAAAAAAAAAAAAAAAAAAAAAAACACTCGATCTGGAGTCCAGACTCTTGGAAACATTGACAAGAAAAAATACTCTTGATTCAATCAGATTTAAGTTTAAATCAAAAGGGCAATAAAAATTAAGAGGCTTGGTTCTTGATTTAAGCAAAAATCCGATTGAATCAAGAGTATTTTTTCTTGTCGATGTTTTTAAGAGTCTTGACTCTAGATCCAATGTGGTTTCTTTTCCAGTGTAACACTGCATTTGATTGGATTTGAAAATTTGGCACTTCAGGTTTGACCGAAAAATTACGATTTGGTGTCTTTACGATGCGGTCTTGGACCTACACCATTAGACTGCACTGATTACGTTGCTGCACTTCCGGTTTCGTGATTTTTATTACGAGACCTACGATACATTTGCCAGCGACCCGACTCGTAACTTCGCAGACGGTGGCATGGCGAGCTTGAGGCTGATAAGTCCGCTATCAGACGACGAAATGCATTTCCAGCGGCGCGAGGCTCGACGCGCCTCGCGAGCCATGGGCGCCGCGACGCTCGAAGCGCGCGCGGCGCGGCAGTTGTATCGACGTCTCAAGGTTCTCCATTGATTCGCGATTCGCGCCTCCCGCCTCCCGTACGTCGTGCACGAGCACCCACCCTCAGCTCCCTCCCCCCCCCGCCCCGTTTCGCCGTTCGCCGCCGGACCCTTCCCCTCCAGAAAGGTGCACCCGCGCTGACATGAGCGTAGCGCCGGCCGCGTCGCGGCGCGTCTCGCGTCGTCATCGTCTCTCACGCTCACCCATTGATTCATTTTCCTCCGTCCGAACTCCCGCCCCGCCTCGTCCACGGTCCGCGGTGGCCTTACGAGTAAACACCTTCGATTATACGCACTGTTACGGCACCTTGTAATCGACTTGGTTTAGAGGCGGTATATCGATGACTTAATGCAGAGACTATGCATTTCGATATGACGGTCTCGAACTTGTGCCAAATTTTGTTCTTCTCCTCCCCTGTTTTTTAGTAAACCAAAAAACTTTGCCGATTACAGAGATCGCAGAATCCGAGATAAATCTAAACTCATGAAATATTGTCAACGAGAGGGGAAATAAAAGAAAAGAAAGGAAGAAAAAAAAGAGGGGCCAAAATTTGGCAAAATTTGAAGGAAATCACGTTGGTTATTTTCTTCATGAAAAGATGAAGTGTAACCGGTAGACGTAGTTTCGAAGTTTAGCTATCGATATATTTTACAGACCCTGCGCTCCTATCTTCTCCGCGGTGTATGCCATGTATGCATGTATGTATTCTGCGTATGTACGTATGTCTTTCTGCATCAACTCCTTGAGTAGTCTAATGGTCAATGATGACCAAATCTGTGTAAAAATCGACCTGACAAACAGGACTTGGCGTTTGATGAACTTGCCTTGAAAACCACTCAATTCTGTTGCGATTCTCGCGAGTAGGAAATACTAGTTTTCCTCCATTTACATCCACTGTAAATATCGATTCTTACAATTAGCCTTTCGGCGTGCTTTGTTATATATCGATTGATCTACCATTTAAACCAATGGAGAAGAATCGATAAACAAAGTGTTCGCAACGAACACCTTAAAAATCGATTCTTCACTACAGCTTCAAATGGGAAAATATCGATAATCGATTGTTCACGGCCGGAAATCGATTGTTTTACTTTCATTGAAACGGAGGAAAACCAGAGTTGCCGTCTTGCTAGAATGGCGACTGGCTCGATATTACACTTTTCGGTTATCATTAAGCCGATACCATGCTCAACAGGTCGCTCATCAATCATCATTGCGCGGAAAATATTGTTGAGATCCAAACTCGAGGTTTGTCTCCCCCGATGGAGTTACTTCGATAGGAAAATCGGGGTCGCTCTGACTATGTAATGTATAAGACGGAATAGAGAACCCGGAGGAAAGGGTTGAATCAGTTTAGTACCATCGTGAATGTCACAGCAGATGTAATGAATGAAAACAGAAAAAAATACTTTTACTCCTCATTATAGTTAAGGACTGTTAATGATCACACATTTGCTCTTATGAATATTCAAGTTTTTGAGGAGGGGGCCCGTAATAGTTGAAGATGATCATTATTCCGGGAGGTCGGTGCCTGGACGAAGAACAGTTTCTCTGTCTTCCGCGATCAGTAGGAGCTTCAGTTCTCGGGGGGATCGATTTGGTGACATCGTAGGAAGTGAATTCTTGATTGCTGACCTTATGTATTCAATAAGATATGCTAAATCCTAATAAACACTCTGAGCTTGTCGGATTAAGAGTTTGACTGATCGTGGAAATACTGATTTTGTTGCCTAGATCGTTATGATGTCTATCAAATAAACGGAGTCACCCGGGTGTTTTGGCCCTTTTTTCGGAAATCTCTTTTACCACGGAGCAGCTGATTTAAACCCATCTTCACATCCGTCGGAATCACATGAAATCATTTCAATCCACATCAGATAATAGGAATCAGTAGCGGAAAGAAAACGGCTTGAGTTTACAGCTCGTGAGACAAATTCATCGTGAAAAACTGTGAACCTTTCAAAATTTTGGAATTTGCTTCATAGTCATCTAAATAATTACAAGATAATGAATTTTAACCGATCTCTAATTAGTCGCTACGACATTTAGGTTTCATTTTCGTTATTTGGTTTGACTTATTTTTGTACCCTTTGATGCGGAGTGCCGGATGTACTCCCATGGAGTTTTGCATCATGCAGTTTTGCCCGTACGTAAATATCAGGACGATTTCGCCCAATTCATGTCACAATGTGGAATCAATTTGACACGTCCATCAGTTGTGATAAGAAGAGGTAGGCGGCAAACAATCTGGTATACAAAATATCGTCGTTTCACTCAGGAGTATCGTATATGAATTGAAATCGAGTCCAGCGATTTTTCCGCGGTTTTCACGGTTCATTACCAATGCCCGCTGTATATTTACTCAATGCAATTCAGTTGATGAATGCTCTGTACACATGTAAATAACTGCGGTGATAGCGTAGCCCAAATTACCATTAAAAAGAAGTTGGAAAAACCCTGGCCAAAAAACCAACCAACCCGTTTTAAAAGGGGAAGAGAAAAAAAAATAATAAAAAAAGAAATACATCGTTCATAGAACTTCTTGAAATTTAGAAGCCACAGACGGTGTAATGAAAGTTTGGAAAAAGAAATGGAAGATAACTTCCTTCTGTGAAGTGCATGCGGTTATTACGTCCGTTCATGGACGGTTCAGATTATCACACGCGAATCGCATTACGAGAGCTCATTGTCAGACAGCTATGAATAATTAATCGAGGGTCTTACGACAGAAAATTTCGGAACGGGTCGGGTGACTGACTGTTCGTTGGAACCCGGATGAGTGAACACAAATTTTACAATCGGAATCTTACTCTCAGCAGTAAGCAATGTGATTGAAGCAAAGTTTGAGCCACTCAAAACTCACACTCACCGGTTCATAGCCCTCATTTTTTTATCTTTTCTCGTCCACAATAAATGGAAAAAATGGATAGTTTGAAACCGGTTAAATAGATTAGCATGCACTTCTTCTGTGAGTCAACATACGGTGAAACAGCGAGAGGGGCCGAAATGCACTACCAGGGGCGCATTAGTGTTGCACCATCCGACAAGTTAAGATCACGTGTTTTATCATTGGCAATGCATTAAACTTCCATCTCCACTCACATTTGGAAATAATCCTGCAGATACATGTTGTGCAGCCATCAAGCTCATACTTTTAAAGTACAGACCCTTTAACGTTAACTCGCGCTTTGAAATCACTGCGTTAGGTGTCCTGAATACTTGAAGGCGAAAATACCCTTTTTTTTCAATATTTAGTGAATTTAGAATGCAATAGTAGGACTTTAGTTTCCAGGAGACGTTCGCCAACAGACAAATAAAACTTTTTTGAGCATGCATGCATGCATTGTGCAAAGTTGTTGATAAAAAATGAGGAAAACAGCTGAGGTCCACTAGTCGCCGGTATAACAAAAGTCAATTTGCTTCTCCCCCAAGTCCAAATGATCCTTCATTACCTAAATAGCAGCTAGGTACAATAGCGAATTGAATACAGGAGTTAATGACTGCGTGCCTACCTTTTTTGTAGTTTCGTTTCAGGGACAGGCGATTAAATAAGCTGGGCGATAAGAGCTATGGAGTGGCATTTCGTTTGAGCCATGATACAAGCCGAGGGGTTGTCAGTCAAACAAAACACGTGGAAACGAAATGATCGCACTATTACATACACTTAACTGTAAATATTGACGAGCCACCTCTAGATAAACAGCTACTCCCGACTCTGGAGTTGAATGAAATTTAGTATTAATAAATGTCACGCAGTTTTTCGAAGCAGTTTAGGTTACGACGCAAGAAACACTATTGAGGTTCAAGCTCTTCTCGGATTTGAAGTCGCATTTCTCACTTCGGTAGCTTTCAGATCCTCTTTCACAATTTTCCCTATCCACTAGTTTTTTTTTTTCTGTTTCTGTTCGTCGATTGCACGCGAAAACAATCCTTTGAAGTTCGCCGGAAATGCACGAGTGTCGACCGGACAGTGTCAATAGTGCGCGGACGCAGGGGCCGAAAATTTCCGCCGGCAATTTTCCACAACAAGCGCACGGTAAAACGGAGAGGAGGGGGTTGCAGTACGAAAAAACGAACAACACGGCACAAGATTTTAATCAAATCACCGAAATAATCGAACGAAGCGGGTTCGAAAAGCCGGAGGGGGAAAGAGCCCGAAAAAGTCGGAACGCACCGCTCTGGGAATGACCACTTGAGGTGGAGTGATAAGAGTTATCAGTGATATGGGACGCGCTGCGTGGAATCCTACGGCGCTCTCGGGTGATGCGAGGTGTCTACTGAACGCAAAGCACTGGCACTACGAACGCGGGTCCGCGACGCAAAGCGCGAACTCTGGCCCCCTCGCCCTCGCCCTCCCCCCGCCTTGCTGCGCCCCCTCACTGACTCCTGGACACCCATTCCCTGCCCCCGCCCGCCGCCAACCCGCGCCGCGGCCCATGCCCCTTTCGGCGTCGCTCATTCCAGCACCGACGCCGCCGCCGCCGCCGCCGCCCCCGCCACACCTCCGCCTCCACCGCCGCCTCCGTCCGCCGAGGCCGCCACGCGTCGGCGGGTGCGTCCGCTGAGGGCCCCGCGAGGCGCGAGTGGAGGTGGCGGCGGGTCAGAGAGAAATTCGGTCTTGATGTAATCATCATGAGTAAACACACATATGCACAGAGGGTCAAATATATTACATTATAAACACATGAAGCGGCAAGCACTCGCGATTCCTCAGCATAGCTTTCTGTTTGCGACTACCATCGCAGGATGCAATTTTAGTCTCGACTCGAAATATTCTGCTCAGTTTAAAGTTTGAGCGAGTTTCATGCCGCGAACATCTGTCAAATGTTCTTGAACTAGGAGTACCCCCCTGACCGCTTCGCGGTACAATCCCTCGATGCACTTCGCGCCTCTGGTGTTATGCGTTACGCGTTACTTATTTTCTGAAATAGTAAAACGAAGACTTAATAATTAAAATGGACGTTGCGATTTTCCTCTATGAAAGATACTAGTATACGGTTTAAGTCAAGCTGAATTTTATTTTAGTTACAGTTACCATAAATTCGGTGACCATGTAGAAGATTAGCTAAGATATATGGTAATAACGCGCTTATAGAAAAAAATTGATTTTTTTTTTATCACAACTAAACTTATAGCAATGGAGACGACAATTTTCATTGATTGTGAGACCAATTATTGTGTAGTGGTACATTACAGTGTAATAAAATAGGCGGAATTTTAGCCTTAGAGTTATAATGTATCACCATAGTGCACTGCAAGGGGAGATGACGAGGGGAGATGAGAGAGCACGGTGCGGTAATAGCGTTACAGGAAAATGGACTAATATTTTTCAAAAAATTGCATAGAATCATAAAACAGTCGAAAAATCATAAAACAGTCGAAAAGAAAATTTGAGTGGTGGGAAGAGGTTGGTATGTTATACGTAAAGGATAGTGCGAGTCTCAGTTTGCGTCAGAACGGCGTTGCAAGTCGAAAGCGTTTCCACTTTGGCAACCAAGAGAGGTTACTTTAACGGCACATCAGTTTGCCTTCAATTTTTACTGTAGGCAACATAAGCTCTCGCGTGGTCGAATAGTGGTATCATAGTGAAATGACACGTCCACTCTGGACTCACACACAAATAAGAGCATTTTATCAAACGAGAAGAGTTTATTTTAGTATGTCGGTTTGCCTTTAATTTTTAGGGATGAGGAAAAAACAAAATGTGGATCAGTTATTTCTCGTCGAATTAGAGGGCCCCTTTAAAATCAGGTCTCGGAAATCATAATCACATTAAAATTGAAATTTTTCTAAAAGAATAACAGTTTTTATTAAGAAGCCTGTGCATACACTCTTGTTCCTCTTTCATTAATTTGCTGAGCAGATTAGGCGGCTCACACAGAACGCATGAGAGTAACCAGTAACATCTTCCCAAGGAGTCGGTGAAAGAAGCCGCGCGCGTGTCGTGTTCAGCCCAAGGGCAGCTAGTGCGCCTTCATCTCACTGCATATGCAACGCTTACAATCGCTGAGCACGAATAGTTGTATTCTAGGCGCTAATATCAATGTTTCGCCTTTAGATGTTTCCATCCTTCGATAACTTTGTTCCATTTTCTTTTTTCTGCGTGCATAGTTAGTCCACTAATCATTGTTTATGGCTAGATACTAGCAATGACTTTCGTTTAAGATATTAATAATCATAAAATGTTGAAATGTACTAAAAAATGCAATCAAAACATTAAAAGAAAAATCAGTCGTATTTAAACTATGTATTTAGATGAAAGTTGATAGCTTCTTTATTTCTTCAGAAAATAATGAAAATGAACATATTAGATTATTAATAGCTTACATTCTATTCCCCTCCCCCTTTACTGTGTTCATTATTTACAAAGCTTTCACATCCTTCAACATCTTTTAAAGAGACAATTTTCATTAATTTTCCATTGCATTCTATTTAAACTCCTCATCGCGCCATTGTTCGATTGTGCGTGCGTTTTTTCTCAGTGACCTTTTGCATATCATTCCACCTAAAACCTGGGTCAATATTTCGTGCTAAAGGCACATTGCAGTGTGTGCTGAGAGTCGATGAATACTTAGTTTACAAGTGGAGCTTCTCTTCGGTGAGTGGAAGGCGGAAAACTTGAAATATTTCAGACGACTTTGAACTCCTAGAAATAATGGTAGATGACCGTACATTGTAACGTTGGTTCGAAGTCTCGGGTGCACCTAAACGAACGAACCGGTAATGATCAATCACTCTTGTTTGCGCATTGAAGTGAGAGCCACATAATGCCAGTTTGATTGAAGAAACATGATAAGGATGAATTTGATGTCTGGAGCACTTTAAAAATACTAGGGTTGTTTGTCTCGCAATTTTTTATGACGTGTGCATAAAAAGCTATCATCTCTTACATTTTCTTTTTCAGTCGATCTGCATTTGAAAATCCCTGGCAAAATAGATTGGAGACACCAGAAATTTAAAATTTAAACTTTCTCTATGACTATCATAGTTGAACAACTATTTCTTCAGGGACCTGAAAACAGTTTTTTCACTTTCAATCATTTACTAAATGCCAAATTTCGATTTATCGATTGATCTGCTATTTCAACCTATGGGAACGGATTGATAAACAGGGTGTTCGAAACGAACACCTTAAAAATTGGTTTTTTATCAAAGCTTCAAAAGGGGAAATATCGATAATCGATCATTTACGCTTCGCCACCGCGTGGTTGATAGCTATGCATGCGGCAAAACTATAATAAAAAAATGGCAAGTTCAAAGCTCAACTTAAAATTGTGTGGTCTGCATAGAGTGTTATTCAAAAGTATGATTAATTAGGTATTTATAATAACTAATCCGGAAACATGTTATCTTAACTGAGTGACTGTTTTAGAGAAGGAAACAATTTGTGAGAATGCACCTCAGTTTTCAACAGCCAAAACATGATATCTCTACTGCAGGCCTACTGTAGAAACATTTCGGCTCGAGTTTGACAGTTAAAGCTCATCAAACTTGATGCAAAGATTGTTTTGAAATCGGACAGTCAGAGACCATCAGATACTGTCTTAAGAAGAATGTCACCAAAGTTTGGGAGGAGCCACTTTCCAAATGAACACGTTTTTCGTTTAGGAAACGGAACAGTTTATGGTGAATAAAAATGAGTTTTTAATGTATGATAAATGCCCTACCACATTACAGTTGTAAAATTTAGCTCTTCTGAAGAATGTGCTGCCATGACACATTTTTTTTAAAAAAAAGCAAATTAAAGCAAGTAATGTTCATGTTAAATTAGTGTTAAAGAAATCAAGATTATTCAATTTCACATTGCACGAGAACACGTATGTGCAATTCCTAAATTAGTTTCGTTTTTCTTTTCAGCTATACTGGAAACGTGTTTTCTACAGAGTGAATCACGGTTTAATTACGATTTAAAGAAATATTTTTATCCATCTATTTACAGTTATTCGACAACTGTTATTCATTTTTGGAGAGAGGACTAAAAACTGCGGAAAGAGATTACGCTATAGTTTCCGTTCGATGGCTCTTGAAATGCAGCGACTACTTATTCAGAGGCTTGTAATTGAAAATTTCAGAGCACTTGAGTGATAAGCCATCATTTCAATTGATAGAGATTTGATGGTTGGCCTAATTAGGATTTTAGCAAGTGCTCACACTTATTTGAATAATTAATTCCTTCACAAACACTGCGGTGTTCATCGTACGTACATAAAATGCTCACGACAGTTTGAACAGCAGATAAAGTATGGGTACACAGTTCCGACCACTTTGCACATTAATGACTAGCTCTTAGTATGAACACTGAAAAGTATATCTAAAAAGTGAAATTAGCCTTGCATTTCTCAACCTTTTACTATCTTAGTGTATTTTCTGAAGGATACACTATTTTCATCAAAGTATTCATGTTTTTTGCTCTTTTTCGTCTTTAAAGGAGTGAGCAATTGAGCATTCATACAAATATGCTTGAATCATGCTCTTTTGAAGTAATTTTTAAGCAATCAATGATCTCATGATATTCAAAGATGATTACAATATTAAATTACGGAACGAATGCCGCGGACATTTAAGATGTAAACAAAGTTTGTGAGAGTTATTATAGCCGAAACAGGCAGCATTAATTCGACGCATCTCAATAAAGTACATGAAAAATTTTAAACGTTGATTTGTAAATTATAAAAAAAACCGTTATGTGGTAATTTAATTGTTTATGCTATTCTCGATTTTCCTAGGAAAAAAGCAATGGACACACGACACTAACACTACTGTTGTTTACAACTTGTTCGAATCCTGGGT